GTCGGCAATAGTGCGGCAATTCCGAGCCGGTGAGTGTCTCCGGCACTCCACGAACCCGCAGGTTTCTTGCCTTGTACCGGTCTTCCATGCCAGCCAGTTGGGTTTGTTGGTCTGCGTATTGCTTGCGGAGTAAGTTCAGCGCTGCGTCCGTGGCACTTTGCGCCAGTTTAGTGTCCCTCAGGCCCTCTTCCACATTTGCCACTTTATTGGTGAGTGTAGCTACGTCTGCCCTTACTAGCGCCATGTCTGCTTGGAACATAGCCTGAATGTCCTTCACCAAAGCTTTAATATCCGCCTTGGTGGCTGGAGCAGCGTCCCCCATGTCTACGGGTCTCAGTGGCAGTTGTTCCGTGCGGGTCGGCAGTGCAGTCTCTGCATAGTAGCTATCCTCGTCCGAGGATTGTGAGGCATAGATCTCGGGCGCCATCTTGGCTTCAGCAGGCCGCGATGCGGCTCGGAGAAAAGCCCCTATATCTCCTGATCCCATGCCCGGATCCGCCCTCTGCTTCTTGTTCTTCTTCCCCATATTGTCGGTAAGCTGTGAACCGGTTTAGGTGCCCGGTGTGTGCGGGGATTATGGCTCCGAGCGAGTTAATTGAGCGTGTCGCACGGAGCTGTCTGAGGATGCGGCCGGTTAGCTCGGGTGCTGGCTCCGCCCCTGCACCTTTTTATTTTGTCGATTCTCTGCAGAGAGAAGGAACCAAATCCTGCGAATCCCATGATGTCCACGAGATCCCACGACGTCCAAGAGATCGCGAGAACGAAGACTGAGGTCACGGCCCGTCCATCTGCGTTCTTGCGATATCTTGGCCCCCCAGTGAATCCCCTTGCGCTGCTAAAGGCCGCGACATTCAAAGATCCAAAGATCGTAGGGGTCCTGAGTAGTGCTCGGGGATTCACTGGTGGCCACAACAGGTAGATTAGCCAAACTACCTGTGGGGCCGTATTAAACCATAACGTGGGCCGCAATTGGCCCGGGTGCCGGACTTTGGACATGCTCGATTTAAGTGAAGGGTCTTCAATCTATAGATCCATTGGCATTCACGTTGTCTCAGGAAACTGTCAAGGTCTCTGCATCTCTCAACTCGTTTGACCAAATCCAGCCCTTTTGAGTTTCCTTAAAGGACCACTCTAGGCACACAATTTTAATATTGTTAATTTCTTAGTAGAAGATGGGCAACTTACCCTTCATGGCTCAGATTTGTGTACAAGCTCCATGAGGTGGTCTGGGTGCCAGGTCCAGCTAGGGTTAACCCATTTTTTTTATAAACATAGACTGCTATGTTTATAAATAGGTTAATCCAGCTTCTAAAGCCTCTAGTGGCTGTCTCATTGACAGCCGCTAGAGGCGTTTGCGTGCTTCTCAAAGACGCAAGCGTCCATAGGAAAGCATTATGAATGCTTTCCTATGAGACTGGCTGAATGCGCGCGCAGCTCCGAAGAGGAGGCAGAGAGCTCCCCGCCCGGCGCTGGAGAAAAGTTAGTGTTTAACCCCTTCCTCTCCCCAGAGCCCGACGGGAGGGGGTCCCTGAGGGTGGGGGCACCCTCAGGGCACTATAGTGCCAGGAAAACGAGTGTTTTCCTGGCACTGTAGTGGTCCTTTAATGGTGCACGCTCACATGTCTAGAAATAGGGGTCTTAAGACTGATTCTCTCTCTAAAGGGAAATAATGTTTTTCCCACAATAGTTTTTATCCATGTTACTAATGTTTTATTTGATACAATCGTTCATCCTTTTTCATTTCTCTGCCCGTTTTGAACTTTGAAATCCAGTAACAATCTATATTTTTTTTAAAATCTAAAAAAGGATCATGCAAAAAATACAGCATGCATATTAATGAGCCTAAACCCGATCAAATGCATTAAACTGGTGTTGCCCACAATGCCCATTTAAGTATTTCGATTTACTTTGACTTTTACTTTGAGTAGCGGCTCCCTGGAAGAGAAGAGGCGGCTTATTACTCGACAGTCCCAGGTTAAGCCAGACATGACATCACAGCCCATGGTCCCCCCTCTTCAAGCAACCTCTTTCTTACCCAAGCCCTCCTCCAATAGCAGATGTCAAACAAGACCCACTGCAGCTCCACCTAAAGTGGTGAAGTCCATATGGCTTTCTGAAGCCCTAGCTACAGCACTACAGAACTTTTCATCTCCCTTATTTCCCATTTCTATTCAGTTTCAAAACAACTAACTAGGTATCTGCAGCTTACATTTAATTCTTGTTAACATTCAATAAAACTTTGATTAATATAAAAAGGGAAGGTAGCCATCTTGTTGCAATCATTTGGTTGGATGGCTGCCTGTGTGGCATTGCAATAGTCAATGACTATGAAGCCATTTTTTCTATATAAGATGCATAATATGGTGCTAAGCGTTGTTCTCCTATTATCCAAGATGCGAAATCCCTGAAACCCAACAAAAGTGATTTAATGAACCTCAATCTATTCAAACATATTCCACAAGCTCATCGAACACCAGATATTTTTCAAAACTAGATTACTAAGTTTTTAGGTGGTTTTGGAAGAAGGTGAGGTAGATTTGTACTTCCTGCTATCTGAAAAAAAAAATTTGTTTGTTTTCCTTGTGGAAAACTAGTGCACTATATGCCATTCAGGAATTGTACGACATCTTAAGATTACTGAACCAGTTTGGAAGACTAATGGTAGCCTTCAGATAAACATATATGGAGTAGTTTCAATTGTTTGTACCATCACCATTAGACACGCAATATACACTGTATTTATACTATGTAAAAAAACTGTTAAGGAATGTTTATATTGTATATAAAATATTATAGCTTCTCATTTAACCACATCACACCATTAGGAGGTGCAGTTGGATCCTAACTACAGGGAGTGCAGAATTATTAGGCAAGTTGTATTTTTGAGGATTAATTTTATTATTGAACAACAACCATGTTCTCAATGAACCCAAAAAACTCATTAATATCAAAGCTGAATATTTTTGGAAGTAGTTTTTAGTTTGTTTTTAGTTTTAGCTATGTTAGGGGGATATCTGTGTGTGCAGGTGACTATTACTGTGCATAATTATTAGGCAACTTAACAAAAACAAATATATACCCATTTCAATTATTTATTATTACCAGTGAAACCAATGTAACATCTCAACATTCACAAATATACATTTCTGACATTCAAAAACAAAACAAAAACAAATCAGTGACCAATATAGCCACCTTTCTTTGCAAGGACACTCAAAAGCCTGCCATCCATGGATTCTGTCAGTGTTTTGATCTGTTCACCATCAACATTGCGTGCAGCAGCAACCACAGCCTCCCAGACACTGTTCAGAGAGGTGTACTGTTTTCCCTCCTTGTAAATCTCACATTTGATGATGGACCACAGGTTCTCAATGGGGTTCAGATCAGGTGAACAAGGAGGCCATGTCATTAGATTTTCTTCTTTTATACCCTTTCTTGCCAGCCACGCTGTGGAGTACTTGGACGCGTGTGATGGAGCATTGTCCTGCATGAAAATCATGTTTTTCTTGAAGGATGCAGACTTCTTCCTGTACCACTGCTTGAAGAAGGTGTCTTCCAGGAACTGGCAGTAGGACTGGGAGTTGAGCTTGACTCCATCCTCAACCCGAAAAGGCCCCACAAGCTCATCTTTGATGATACCAGCCCAAACCAGTACTCCACCTCCACCTTGCTGGCGTCTGAGTCGGACTGGAGCTCTCTGCCCTTTACCAATCCAGCCACGGGCCCATCCATCTGGCCCATCAAGACTCACTCTCATTTCATCAGTCCATAAAACCTTAGAAAAATCAGTCTTGAGATATTTCTTGGCCCAGTCTTGACGTTTCAGCTTGTGTGTCTTGTTCAGTGGTGGTCGTCTTTCAGCCTTTCTTACCTTGGCCATGTCTCTGAGTATTGCACACCTTGTGCTTTTGGGCACTCCAGTGATGTTGCAGCTCTGAAATATGGCCAAACTGGTGGCAAGTGGCATCGTGGCAGCTGCACGCTTGACTTTTCTCAGTTCATGGGCAGTTATTTTGCGCCTTGGTTTTTCCACACGCTTCTTGCGACCCTGTTGACTATTTTGAATGAAACGCTTGATTGTTCGATGATCACGCTTCAGAAGCTTTGCAATTTTAAGAGTGCTGCATCCCTCTGCAAGATATCTCACTATTTTTGACTTTTCTGAGCCTGTCAAGTCCTTCTTTTGACCCATTTTGCCAAAGGAAAGGAAGTTGCCTAATAATTATGCACACCTGATATAGGGTGTTGATGTCATTAGACCACACCCCTTCTCATTACAGAGATGCACATCACCTAATATGCTTAATTGGTAGTAGGCTTTCGAGCCTATACAGCTTGGAGTAAGACAACATGCATAAAGAGGATGATGTGGTCAAAATACTAATTTGCCTAATAATTCTGCATTCCCTGTATACTGGCAGTTAGGATGCATTGACATGTATTAATGTTTTGGTGTAAGCAGGGTTAATTTAGGGAGTACTAGATATTAAATCAGTACCTCTGTCAGCTGGGGTTATTTTTAGTGGTCTCACACTGACAGATGAGCTGCATGCAGCGCTTAAAGCTAGCAATATATAGAGCCCATTAAATGGGGATTTAAACCCCCACTGACTGCAATGCGGTTAGGGCAGGGTTTAACTCTCACACCAGGAGACTTCGGTATCAATAGATGGGGGGGAGGGACATTTTAATGGCTCGAGACTGACAGACGCGCTGTATGCATAGTGCAAAGTAAGTGATGCTACAGCCATTTAAAAACAGCCATTAAAATTCGACGCTTGAAAGTTTGTGTGAGTAGGATTAAATCAATGCTCTAATAAGGGGGTCAAAGGTATCAGTAGATACTCAAACTGAGTGCTAAATAAAGCCATTTAAATGCAATGAGAACGCCAATCGCGCTAATCAACAGCAATTCTAAGCTTGCAGCTCTTCAATAAAACAGACAAGGTCATGTCATATATATCAGACAACTTTCTACACTTGTAACACTCTGCTATTATCAGTATTCATTGACAATTTTCTAAATGTTAGAGGTTGGGTTAGTGTTAGGGGTTAAAGTCAGTGTAGGCTTAGTGTTATAGTGAGGGGAAGGTTAAGGCTGGGTTAGGGATAGTGCAAGGTTATGGTTAGGGTAGTTATATGGTTAGAGTTGCTATAGCGTTCGGAGTGTTTGGTATAGGGTTTGTATTTAAAAAATTTATTTAGCTCCTATGCGCATTTACCAATCAGGACTGATTCATCAATCTATTCTGAGTTCTAGTCCTTTAGTTCTACTTGATGTGTAGATATTATAATAAGCATAAATATGAAAAAAAGAGAAATATATTTATTTTTTCCCCACATTTTCTTCACATGTAGTGTTGTGTTAGGTATACATACAGGATATTAAAAGAAAGACCACTCTGTCCTTTAAAAAAGCAATATACAATATGTATGGGAGTCTTAAAGAGAAATCCTTAAACTACAATCAAACGAACATATAGTGCAAATTCCAGGTTTGAAGGGGTCAATATATTTGTTTGTGCCGAGTACTTGTATACCAAAAAAACTCGCAATTATAGTAATATACATAATTCTTAGTTTGTTATGGTTTGTTCTTGTTCAGTTTCTCCCAGTGCTATAGCCCGTTTGAAATCACTATTTTGGGGTTCAAAGACGTCATAATAAATACTGGATTTGTCAGAATTCCGTCGAACATAGAGCAAGTCGTCCACCGAGTAGAAGTCATCTTTCCCTGCCCAGATGGTCAAGCTGTACCTGCAATGAGCACAAAATTATTCACTGTAAATGCTGAAGTTGAGTTATTTGTACTGCTCTCTAAAAATAACTGCAGCTCAATAAGGCTTAATCTTAAATGCAATAAGTGTTCTAATCACACTAAACAATACGGTCATCATTTTATACAGGTTTAAAAAAAGGATTTTACTATATTTAGGGGGGCAAGATAGTGTTGGTCTTCCTGACCCTATAGTGTTTCTATAAACATTACTGTGGTATGTTTACATTGCAGGGTTTATAGGCCTCTTGAGTGTGTCACTATATGAATAAAACTCACCCTATGTTTGTATTCCTAACACCATAGTGTCCCTTTAAGATCACTCCCAATTCCATGAATACTGCTCTAAGTTTATCTGAGCATATCGCTTCTGGTCACAGTTTTAATATTGTTAATTTCTTAGTAGAAGATGGGCAATTTACCCTTCATGGCTCAGATTTGTGTACAAGCTCCATAATCATGTTGCCGATAACTGGCCTCTTGTCTTCCATACTGCGACTAAATAGGAAGGCAGATTTATCAAAAAGTTCTCTTCTTAAATGTGGGGCAGTCACCATGTAAACCAGTGGAACCACCACATCCCATTTGTGACACTTCCCCTTCTACATTTTTGCACCATTTTTTAGAACAGAACAATTAGCTAACTCCCCCTAGTGTTCCCATCTGTGTCTGATCTTTTTATTTCCTCGATATGATAGATGAAGTATCAAATCTCTAAGACTACTGCCATTGTCTGTTAAAAGGGACACTCTAGCGTTGGGAAAGCCTCCATTGGTTTTCACAGCCAAATGAACATGTGAGTAAGGCTTTACATCCTTTCCTCTTGAAGAAAAAAAAAAGTGCACACGCATAAGATGTCCTGTACAATGGAGGGCAGGATTTGTTCTCATTGGTTACAAGTGGAAACCTAGTATTGGCTACTGTATCTCAGCTACTTCCTGGTTTTGTAAAGCAAAGTGTTTCTTACCTATCAGATTTCTTCAGCAGCCAGTGTAATTGATCCCATGACTGGCGAACCAGGGCGGCCCTAACTGGGAATGTCACGGGTTGGCTCAATGCCTTACAGATCTCCTCCATTTCTCTTACCATCTCCCAGCTGTAGCCTACAAAATGAGCACATTTACCAAAAAGGTTACATTTTGCACTTATGGAGGCTCTATAAAAAGAGAAATTATTGTATGAAGTTCTCCAAATTAAACGATCACTATGGAATAAAGCACAAAAAAAATAAAAAATCTGTTGATTGCTCCACTGACCTACCGCACAGAATTGTTATATTCACATAATCTACTATAAATATTGCACCTACCACTGAAAGAAAAAAAAAAAAAAAACACATACAGAAAGCAACATCAATGGTCTAGCGAAGTTCAGCAAAAGTGGAAATGACAACGGTTTCCATGGTGATTGCTCCACTGTCAATATACTGCCCCAGGAAGAAGACATGGCACATGGTGTAGTACTGTCACTGAAGGTTAGACACTTTCATCCTTGATAATGCAGGAGTGTCAATTTCTCTATAGTGGATAGAATTTGGGCTTTGCCAGACAGCTGCACAGGTTACGTAGCTGAGAGCACTAGTATTACCAGGCTGCCGAAGAGGGCGCTATCCTGGTTTCTGTCAACATGCCACCACAGGAAATGTGGGAGGGGGGACAATTCACTATAATCACAATCTGTAAGTCCCAGACAACAATGAATTTGCAGAAAATGTTGTGGTGGCTCGCTGCACATAGAAAACCACTGTTCTAGAATATTTCTGAGCAGACGTGCTTCCTTTTGTTGCATTCTGAAGCAACGTAGAGCTGGCTGCAAACTTGAAGATGGTAAATTTTGTTAATTACTCCAAAACTATTTTTAATTGGTTTGTGAATAACTCACCAAATTAACCTTCAGAGTAAGAAAACTAAACAAAATAAAACCCCACGATGATTAGTAAAGACATTTGTACAAGGGTCACTTAGAAGGTTCTGTAACTATTTTAAGCATGGTCCATTCGCAGACGTCTCTAGTTTAACGGACTCTGTAGATTGATGTATGTAATAATGTAATATTAAACATATGACATGGAGGATAGGTAAACCAAAAGGACGCAATATAAAGAAATAGAAAAATAAATATATCTAGACTGCTTTTATTTCCAATTGACGTGCATACACTGCCATCACTATGTAAGCAACACACTTTGCAAGAATGAGAATGTCCTTCACAACATATTTGATAGGCGCCCCTTTACAGTATCAACAAGAACAGCAATTATAATACTTCAACCACATCAAGGACAACATTTGCCCTGTAGAAAAACAGAAAGAAAAAAAAGAGTATATAAAAAAAATAAAAAGGATGTGCGTCTACTTGTATTTATTCAGCGAATAACGTACACACTGCGGAAAGAAAAAAGGAAAGTACAATTTGTTGTGGGTAAAATAGATTTATAAATTCTATAGAGGTCACATGACATAGCAATGTATACAATAAATAAAAAATGGAAATAAAGGGGGGGAAAAAAAGTCTAAAACCAGATAAAATAGGTAAAAGGAGTTTTCTATTAAATACTACTCTGAAACGGATGTACAGGGATACCATACAAAAACCCTCTATAAAAACAGTATAAGCGTTATCTCAGATAAGACTCTAACTTGAACCATTGGCAAGTAGATGGTAAATTGGATCAATTGTACAACTTATTGTACAACTTTATATATATAGTCACTGAAGGATTCCTGAAACAGCTTAAAAGTGTCCACATCTAATAGTTCTTTAAATCAGATGTGGCAATTAGTGACCGAGGTTGTTGGGTATAAAAAGACATCAGCCTCAAGATAATCACACAAAAATGCTACTTCCAGCAGTGACACAGACCACTAACAGGGGCAATACGTAGTGTATCTAAAAAAAAAATATCAAAAGAGATAGAAAACATCATGCTCTCCTTAATATGTAACTTTATTTTAAATGCAAGATTAAAAACATTTACAGGTTTTCTCTGCTAAGACTGCATATCGGGGAACTAAGCCCCTAGGTGTGGTGATCGCTCATCTGCTTACGTTCTCTATCTCAGCCATTGCGTGTAAATGGGAGTCTTTGATAAATCACTTACTTTAGGGATTCGCTTCCCAACTGGGGGTATGGGGTGCATCCCAAAATATTTAAAGGAACGCTATGTTAAAAATATTTTTAGAATTAGAATGTGTTCCTTTTTCTCGTTTTGAATACTGACCCTTTTTCTAACATCAAATGTCTAAATGAGGAGGTGTGTTCTTTGGAAAATATTGCCATTTCACATCAACAGAAATGTTTTACATTGTCTGAGTAAAGAGACCGCATATATACACCAAAACCACTGCATCATAAAGATAAACAATATATTTAGTTGCGTTTGCAGTTGTATATTTTATTATATCCTCTGTGACGTTATAACAGCTATTGGATGAGGTTCTTGGGTGTTACGGGATTGTAACGCCCAACCTCCAGTTCGGTTCTTTTCTGATACGACTGACCTTGTGGACAATCCTCTCCCATAACCCTAACCCTGTAACTTCATTCAATTCCCATATTCCCTCAGAAAGTGTGAGTCAAGTAGAGGAATATTGGTAATGAAAGGTGATCGCCAATGGATTAACTGTGAAAGCTACCGCACTTTATATGTATCTAATCTGAAGTTTTTTGGGGAGTGGAGGAGGGTTGGGAAGATGCAGAAAGGAAGGGAAATATTTTTTTCCGAGTGTGGGCTTGGAACTGTAGCTAACATAGGAAAAATAGAAAACAGGGCAATTAACTAGGAAATGATAATAAAAAACAAAAACAACCCCCCCCCACCCAAAAATGTATGTGTCAGTAGGAATGATACAACATTAATAATAAAAGAAATTTAATAATTACATTTAACCCGCCTCCAAACCAGAGAAGTAAAATTTAACCAGAATAATGGGTAAAGTGGCAAAATCACTTTCCTCTATATTTGTGTCGACCAGAGATCTCAGATTTTCATAGCTCGATTTAGTATTATTATTTTATTTTTTTAACAATAAGTACATTTGCATACATTGCTGCTAGTGCAATGTATAAATGTTTTTTTTTTTGTAAGTTTACATTACGCTCCCATAATGTGTCCTATGACCGGTACACTATAAGCAAGTTACAATCACAAGTGATCTACTTAAGGTAGCACTTGAGGGTAAATGTTTCCGCACCTTCATTATGTTTATCAGGATACCAATTGGTGGTCCAACCCAAAGATAAGGTGACATCAGCGAAAAATGAGGTTACAGTATCTATGAATTCTTTGCTGTCCACTGGCTTCGCCTTTCCACCTGGTCCTTGAAGAATGTCAGCATTAATCCAAACTGGTTGCTTTATCTTCGGCTTTAAGGCTTGTAATATCTGCATTGATGGCAGCACCGATTCCAAACTCAAAAGAAGGTAAAAACAAAACAAACATTTTTTTAAAATTACAAACAAAACAAAAAAAAATATATAAAAAAATAATATATATATATATTGTACATGTAGATTGTCTAGTAGATGAAATTTATTTTGAAACGTAAGCTTTAATTGGGTACATTTATTTATTTTTATTTGATGAATCGGCCCTCCCACTCAATCCCGTGGATAGCTCTACCGAGTACTAGTAACTCCGGTGCTTTTTACTCTTAGAAGAATGTGGGCTGTAGTTTTGATCACAATTAAAACTTTAGAGAATATAGTGTTACATCATTTCTATTTAGAGTTTTAAGGCAATTTCAAACAGATTAATTTCATGACATTTTTCTGTTTGACTGAAACTTTCACAAAAACACCTACAGTTTCTGCATCTCTCTCTGCAAAATTATTTCGTTCTGCCCACATATTCTTAAGTTAAGAAACCTGTCAACGGTTTGAGATCATTTAAGAATAGAAGTAACACTCTTTACAGCAATCGTCTCACCTTTGAATTTTCACAAAAAGCATTTAGATCAGATTTTATTTAATAAATAAGACTGCTGCCTAGTGGTATTAAAGAAGGTACATATAAAAATGGAATGTTCGAATGTACTTGGAAGTATGGATAGGAAATAAGAGGGTCTGTAAATGTTAGTAAATTGCATGCTTACAGATAAAAAGTTACTGAAAAGGCCATAACGCATCAGCATAAATGTAAACAATTTACTAACATTCACAGACACTCTAATTTCCGCTCGTTACTATAGGAAAATACCAAGTACATTCGTACATTCCATTTTTATATGAACCTTCCTCTTCACGATTATCAACATGAAAAAATATATTCTTTTAAATTCATTTTAATTCTGCTCTTTTCTTTTTTTTTGTCACGTACAAAAACAAAATATTTACTTAAGTGTAAGCAAAGTCTGAATTAGGATTGTTCATTTATCCTCTACAAAATTATGGGGTAAATCAAACACTGTAGACCATAACAAGAATGGTTTAATGAATGAATGGTCACCCTGCTGGTTGGTATTTGTAAGGGTCCTGATGTCATAACCACCAGTACGGCATACTAAAAGTGAAAAACGCATATATAAAAAAAAAAAAAAAAAAAGTCAGCACTTGAGCATAATGCCTGCTTGTAGTAAATATAGTTAAAGGGACACTAAGCACCAAAACAACTTCATCTAAATTAAGTTGTTATGGTGCCAGGAGGCAGTCTTACCTCAAAGTGTTAAACTGTACTCGAACAATTTAATCCCATAGTTGCCTCCAGCGGTGGCAAACAAACCAACCAAAAAAAAAATATTTTCCATTTAAGCCATTTAAACTTTATTATTTCCTTGCCCGTTTTCCCCCAATTCCACTTTCAGTGGATAAACCCAAATATTACTAAACGCGACTGTAACTGTATGATCCAGGAACGTGTTCCTTTAGGCAGACTGAGCATCATGGGATATGCAGTACACTGACCTCCGGAGTGCCGTGATTAGCAATCAGAGATATAAATGTATATGTATGTTAACAAGTAATCGAACATTTTGAATGCTATAATTTTAGTCTCTGTGAATGACTGGTGTTTTTTCCTATTTTAAATACGTTTCAAACCACATCTATCTAGATTTGTTTAGATGAGTTACAAGCAAGTATTGGAGGCTACCGAATCACTGACCCTAGAGGGCTAAATAATTTAAGACTGACTGCGTTATGGAAATACACAAGGAGAGAAATTAGAGTACATTGCATATTCAAGTCAACTAAATTGCTACATTAAATATGTGACAGCTTGAAAGGTGGTTTAAAACAGTAATTTAATGAGAATTGTGAGAATGTCATTGTGCCCTTATGCTGTGCAAATCATGTGACCCCTTTCACATTAGGGGGTCAGAAAGAACAATTACTTTTTCAGACACATTCGGAAGACTCACATGACAGGAAAGGGTTTAATCAGCATACACTATTTGGCCCTGCTGCAGTTGCTGTGAGAACAGCCCATAATCATGGCTACATGATAAACTGAATTTTTTATATTTTGGAAATAAACTAGTTTAGAAAAAAAAAAGTTTTATATATATATATTTTAAATAATTGTTTCATATGGGGAGTACAACAGTGCAGAAAAAAAAAGCAAAAAAAATAAGTGATCTGAAGTGGTCATGGTGCCTGCAGTATGTATGTGCGGCATTTTCATGAAATGCTGCACATGTTGAGTTTAGATCATTTGCTTCTGGAGGTGTAACTCCAGCTCCCGCAGCACCAATGGGGTGTCATTAGCAAGCCCGGAACAAAGCGTTCCAGGCTAGCTAACGTTAATTCTGTGCATATTGCTATGTGCAGGCTTACATCATTGGTTGAGGGCAATCAGCGGACACTCTCAGCCAATGATTGATCGGCAATTGGCTTCAGCAGCTCTGCAGAAGTCAGATGTCTTAAACCTGGTTTTGAAAAAGGACCTTGCGCAGACCCAGGTAAGAGGGCTTGCCCAATTACCAGGGAACGGGGTCAAGGTACTCCTACCATTATTACCACTACAGCAGGCTGCAAGCATTATGCTGTAATGGTTATGATGACTGGAGTAACCCTTTAAAGAGAAGAGATAAAATAACCTAGAACCATTTACAGCTCACAGATGTCCCTCATTTGGAGCGACAGTCACAGTAAAGGTTCCATAAGGTGCTTAGAATATTTGGACAGTATCACAGAGCTCCACAGCAATAACTCACATAGAAATGTAAGTATCACAGAGCAATTTAGGTTTTGAGAGACCACCTTCCCCCATCAGCATTGGCACTGCTGTATTCCATACAGTTTTGAAGCCAAGTATTCCGAAGTTGATTTACCTCCCAGCTGTTTTAAGACGATCCTTTAAATCATATTATATGCAGTTATGCACTAAAACCTTATAGATGACTCACTCATTACCGTGGCTTGCATTACTGTTCTTGTACAAGCGGCTCTTTTTCTTTGTCGGTCATTGATTTGATTGTTACTCATGTCAAAATGTATATACAAAATGTATGGTCAAAACTGTACACTGGTCATTTAATCAATCATGTTACTGCACGTCACAAATTCTAAACAAACTTTGTACGGTTTTGTGGCATGTGGTGGTCATCTAATTAAAGGCTTATATGGTAACCCAACATTTAGCAAGAGAACTACATAAATACATAGGTTTGACAGCCCCATCTTTCAAATAAAGGTCATTTAAGAGGCAATCTAGCCAGGTGATTAACACTGTCACTGTGACCATCTTATACTTATAAATAAGAAAAGAACATTTTTGAGAGATATAAAAAACCATCACAAGAGCTATGTATATATCTAATTTAAAAGAATTTAGAAGAATGTGAAAAAAGGTTAGCTCAAGTTATAGGCGATTTTCAATGTTATATTTGATGGTGTAGATTCCAGAGAAGTCACAATTTCCCATTATTTTTATTATCGCCATTTATATAGCGCCAACAGATTCCATAGCGCGTTACAATATCATGAGAGGGGGGATTTAACTATAAATAGAACAATTACAAGAAAACTTACAGGAACGATAGGTTGGAGAGGACCCTGCTCAAATGAGCTTACAGTCTATAGGATTATAAAATCAAAACAAAAAACACTGAACAAAATGTCTAAGTGTGAGGAGGGCCTTGTTAGTGCACTACAGAAAGGGGTATCAACACGTATGTTGGACTGGAAGCCCAAAAATGTAAAAATAACCTCTTTTTATTAATTTCTCCTAGGTTATACCTTTTGAAATCAATCTTGATGCCTTTCTTAGTTGACGACACACCATCCAACCATTGCTGCAGAGTTATATCACTGTCCGTTTCCGGAGGATGAGCCATGATTGGTTCTTTGTTACCGGATCCACGCAGAATGACATCTGCTTCAATCATGTTAATGTCACCTGCGTAACAGTAAAAAAAAATAAAAAAAAAAATTAAAGAAAAAAAAAACTTTTTTAGGGCTCCTTTGAACAGGGAAAATCAATGACTCCACAACTTTACGTACTTTGGTAAGGATTTATGATAACTAGATGTTTAGAGGGCTCTAAAAACAACTTCTATTTGCAAAATGTATTTTCCATGTGTAGTTTCTTTATTGAGGTTAGCCCAAATTCCAAATGCATATTTATAGCTTGGGTCTAAAAGATTTTTACCATCTTCGAACTAAGAGGACCATGAAAGTATACTTTTTTTTTGCCTATAGCTCCATCTGCTGGAAATTTGTGAACACAGTTTACTTAAGGCATACTAAGAGCACCATTAACACTACAGCATGCTGTAGTGGTTATGGTGCCCCGATTCCCTCCTACTGTACATAGTCAAACTGATTTGAATAATTTTACTAATTACCTGGGGTTGGCTGGCCGACACTCCCTACCGTGCCACCACTACGGTTCTTGGTTGGATTATACCTGTAAGATGTGTTTGAACTCCTATGTTTATAATGCTCACCTCTCCGACTCTCGGAAGCATGGCCTCCTTTGCGATGGTCTAATCCAACGTTCCTCATAGAGGAGCATTGGGGACCTGATGTGCATGTGAGGAAAGTTTCCCTGTCACTTAACGTGCCTCTAGTGGCTATCAGAAAGACAGACACTAGAGATGGATTTAACCCTGCAATTTAAACATATCAGTTTCTTAAAAGAACCACAATAACTGCAAGGTTATAAGAAAAGAGCCATAGAAATGAAGTGGTCTGGGTAACTCTAGTGTCCCTTTAACTATACTAATACATGAAAGCTGAAAGAAACGTGGTTTAAACAGTTTGTTAGCTGCAGTTTGGCATCCTAACACCCACTAAATCACACGAGGTGAACAGAGTTTTTCTTAAGGTACACCAGACATTCATTACTTCACCTGTGCTCCTGCTGGACCTCTACACAGGATGTGAAAGAAATTAAAGGGAAAACCAATATCTGATGATGTGGCGGTATTGTTGTGGTGTGTGGAGCGGTGTGGCCACTTCAAATACATATAATTCAAAGTCTACAGTACGCATTACAATACTGGGGAAATCCATATACCTTCTTATGTGTTAACATGATAGAAACAATCCAGTAAGTGTGTGGAGGGGGGTAACTTCTTCCAGCCGTTGTGGGTCTGGGGGTCACGGGACGGCCTCCGCCATCTCCCCCTTTTTTGTCTTTTCTCTGTCTCTCTTCCCCATTTCATCTTCCCCTTCATATCTCTCCTCCTGTGCTGCCTTCCCTGCCCCCCCCACCTTTCCCTTCCCTAAATTTATACTTATGCTAGTGCTTTGACGTAGGAACGTGGCAACTCTTACGACAATAGCCACAAATGGCCTCAAGGTTAACTAATGAGTAAGAGAGGCATAATTGGTCGGGGCGACGTATAGGCAAAGGTAGTCGCACAGGACTTGTCTCCAACGACATCACCGGTGCATGCTGCCTACTTGATACGGCTGCCAGATACCTCCTAATATGCAGAAGATAAAGATCTAGTTGCCTAATGTTGACTGATTGTGTATTCTAGCACAACCCATGTATCTTGATATCATCTTTACTTGCAATTCTGCATTATATTGTATATCTTTTCTATGTAAAAAATAAAAATGTAAAGATTGTCAAAAAAAAAAAAAAAAATTGGAAAAAAAAGAGGAAATAAGTAAAAAAACAAAACAAAAAAAAACCGACCCAACCAATACAATAACGTTTATAACACACACACACACACCAAGACCATTACATTACGCTGTAAAGGTTTTGGTGCTTAGTGTCCCTTTAAAAGAAGAGATTCTTAGACGAGACAGGCTACATTCTCCCTATGGAAACTCCCTAGCCAACGTTGCTAGCACTGGCTGGGGAGTATAGTAACAGAGTTTGCCCAACAATATTAAACAGAAGCCATGCTCAGATGTGAGGGCTCTTAAATTATTGAAGTGATCATGGTAAAACAATTTTAATATTTTAAAACAAGAGACTATGAGTCTAAATATTTTACTTATTTATATTTCAGCATTTTCTGCTATATGCATGAACATTTCTTAGTAACAAAATAAAACCGCTGTCAAATATAGTTCTGTATGAATTGTCTGAAATTAACATTTCATATGATGAAAAAATAAAAATATAGATATAATAATAATAATAATAAAAAAAGGTATTAAAGATTTTGTTCCTTTACTTTTTGCAAATAGGATGTGACTGCAGTGCCTTAAAAGGTAAATCTCAATTAATCTCTAATGCCACCGCTTCCTAGTCTAGACATAATGTAGTACATTTTTACTAATTTTACTATTTTGGGAGAAGTGGCCAAAATAGTAAAACACAAAAAAGTTAGCATTTAGTAATTGTAAAAAAAAAAAAAAATGAGGAACACAGACAGATCTATAAGATTAGGCAGAAAGAGGCTAAGCAAGACATAAGAGCTTCCAAATCACACACAGAAGAGAAAATAGCACAGTCAGTAAAAAAAGGGGGAATACCACATATTTTGTTTTAGATACATAAATGAGAAAAGGAAAGTAAAACAAGGATTAGTTAGATTAAAAACAAAAGAAGGAAGGTATGTAGAAGAGGATAAAGGTCTAGCTGAATGCCTCAATTAATATTTTTGTTCAGTATTTACAGATGAAAATGAAGGAGAGGGACCTTAGTTAAGAAAAAGGACAAATGAGTCATTTGTTACATGTGAGTTTACAGAGGAAGAGGTTCTATTTCAACTGTCAAAAGAAAAGATAAATAATTTGATGGGGCCTGATGGGATGCACCCAAACTTATTAAAAGAGCTTAGTGGTTTACTAGCAAAACTATTAACAGATTTATTTAACCAATCATTGTTAACAGGAGTAGTCCCAGAAGATTGGAAGTTAGCGAATGTTGTGCCCATTTACAAGAAAGGTAATAGGGAGGAGTCAGGTAACTATAGGCCAGTAAGCCTTACTTCAGTAGTGGGGAAAGGAATGGATACCATGTTAAAGGATAGGCTTGATGAACATCTAAAAACACATGGATTTCAAGATCAGAGGCAACATGGGTTTACTTCAGGGAGATCCTGACAAACTAATCTTATTGATTTTTTTGATTGGGTAACTCAAATAATAGATCAGGGTGGTACAGTAGACATTGTTGAATGGGTAAGGCAGTGGCTGAGTGACAGGCAACAGAGGGTTGTAGTCAATGGAGTATATTCGAAGCATGGGCTTGTCACCAGTGGGGTAGCTCAGGGATCTGTACTTGGACGCATTCTCTTTAATATTTTTATTAGTGATATTGCAGAAGGTCTTGATGGTAAGGTAAGATAAGATATGTAACAGGGTTGATGTTCCAGGAGGGATAAGCCAAATGATTTGGGTAAACTAGAAACATGGTCAGAGCTGTGGCAACTGACATTTAATGTGGACAAGTGCAAGATAATGCATTTTGGACGTAAAAAACCAAGGGCAGAGTACAGAATATTTAATACCCTACTAACCTCAACATCTAAAGAAAGGAATTTAGGGGCAATAATTTCAGATGACTTAAAGGTAGGCAGACAATGTAATAGAGCAGCAGGAAATGCTAGAAGAATGCTTGGTTGTATAGGGAGAGGAATTAGCAGTAGAATGAGAGAAGTGCTCATGTCATTGTACAGAACACTGGTGAGACCTCACTTGGAATATTGTACGCAGTACTGGAGACCGTAGGATATTGATACTTTAGAGAGGGTTCAGAGAAGGGCTACTAAACTGGTTTATGGATTGCGGGATAAAACTTACAAGGAAAGGTTAAAGGATCTTAAAGGGACTCTCCAGTGCAAGGAAAACAAACCGTTTTCCTGGTACTGCAGGTCCCCTCTCCCTCCCACCCCTCATCCCAGGTTGCTGAAGGGGTTAAAACCCCTTCAGTGGCTTACCTGTATCCAGCGCCGATGTCCCTCGGTGCTGGTTCAGGGTCCACCCCCGCGATGTCATCCAGCAGGGGGAGACCTATTGCGCATGCTTTTCTTTCAATGCTTTCCTATGGGGATTTCAGCAACGCTGGAGGTCCTCACATAGCGTGAGGACGTCCAGTGAAGCTATAGCACAGTGCTATAAACCTAGTAGACAGCCACTAGAGGAGGAGTTAACCCTGCAATGTAAATATTGCAGTTTATGAAAACTGCAATATTTACAGTTACAGGGCACCCAGACCACTCCAATGGGAAGAAGTGGTCTGGGTGCCTGGAGTGTCCCTTTAACATGTATAGCTTGGAGGAAAGAAGAGACTGGGGGGATATGATAGAAACATTTAAATACATCAAGGGAATAAACACAGTAAAGGAGGAGACTATATTTAAAAGAAGAAAAACTACCACAACAAGAGGACATAGCCTTAAATTAGAGGGACAAAGGTTTAAAAATAATATCAGGAAGTATTACTTTACTGAGAGGGTAGTGGATGCATGGAATAGCCTTCCAGCTGAAGTGGTAGAGGTTAAAACAATGAGGGAGTTTAAGCATGCGTGGGATAGGCATAAGGCTATCCTAACTATAAGATAAGGCCAGGGACTAACTAAAAGTATTTTGGAAATTGGGCAGACTAGATGGGCTGAATGGTTCTTATCTGCCGTCATATTCTATGTTTCCTTGTAAATGCAAATTGTACAAAATAAAAATGTTGCCGTCTTCTGTCCAAAAGTGTTCACCTAATAGGGTGTAACTCACATGCATTGTGCTAGTGACTTAGAAAGGTGTATTGTTCCTATGTAAAAACTTGTGTGTGGGTTCTAACATATAAACGGTATACTCACTCTGTAAAGCTTCTTCTAATTTTGCCTTGCTGTTTGCTGCATGATACCAGGTTATTTCTGAGCCATCTTTCTTTTTTATTAGCTTTTCACCAAGAAAATAGTCCAAAATGTTTTCACTCCATGAGCCTAAAGAAATACAGATTGTTTTTTATAATCTATACTTTATTTACAGTCAGATGCAGGTTATTATGTTGCCTTAATTACAAAATCTTATAGATAGAAAATAACGCAGCCATATGTCCCAAGTGCCCCGGATCTGGTAAGACAGTCTTAGTGCGGTACCCGACGCCTTGGGTTGTGGTGTAATTTATTTAGTATTCTGCTTCTCAAGAACATCAGATACAGTTCCATACCTCTACATGTATGCCCGCTGGAACCAAGCGGTTTTCCAGTGATGTATAGATGCTGTTAATGTCATAAACAATGTATTGGATTAATGCACATCGTCACTGAACTGAATAACATTGGGGTTTTACTTCTGTGTTATCAGTACAAATCAATCCAAATTTGGACAGGAAGGATAGGCTGAAAGCACTGGGCTATCCCTTCCCCATAGTCAGTCACCCTTATCGTTCAGATTTGTACGGACTTTCTACTAAAGGGACATTAAAATTTGACCTAATTGAATTGGTTATCGTGCCTGGAGTCCCTTAGTACTGCCTCTGCTTCAGTGTTGTGCTATTTTCAGCAGTTTAACACAGAATAAGGGTCCCTGACTTCCCATAGCTCTGCCCCCACAGGAGGGCAAAACACCCTAAATGGTTTACACTAAATGGGAAGTTGGTAAGGGGACTCCAGACACTGCACCACTTCAAAGAGATGAAGCAGTTACAGTGTCCCTTTAATTGTAAGTTAAATTAAATTCTTCATATTAAAAGCAATGTTCTAGTTTTGGACTCCTCAGAACACAGAGTATTCGTAAGAGCACAGACTTATAGGAGTTCATTTATAAATTGCCAATATGTTTCTCTGTGGTAATCCAGAAAATCATTTATAGTGCAACACACAAATGTTTTTGATTGGTCCACTGAAAATTGGTCACTGTGGGGAAAAAACAGTCTTTTCAGAGGTCTGTCGTTTACTGGTGGCTACATTTTAAACACTTGATCACATTAGTTTATAAAAGGGCTTAGCTCATTGGCTGAGACTGTCAGCTAATCGATCTCAGCCAATAAGCGCTCAGAACAGAAGTTCCTGCTTAGGAACATCCGGCACTGTGGAAGTAGTAGTGGAGACAGGAAGAGGCGCCCAGTGGACCTAGATAAGAAATCAAACTGTTCAGAAATGGGGCACTACTGGCTGGCACCATGGCAACTACACAGTTGTACTGGTTTTGGTGCTCTGAGTGTTCCTTTAAATCGGAACTGCAACTGTCTGGGTACTTTGCTAATAGTGACATCTCTGCTGGGGGGGTCCTGTGATACAGGGGCAGGGTGAGGGAGGTAAGTGTGAAATTAACCTAAATTTATGCATTGTGAGTACAGCCATCTTGATCTGGCGGATTCTCTTCCAGGTAGACATTAGTGCTGTACTCTCGCGCATGCACAATAGTACAGCATTGAGGTCTATGGAGGATCTTACAAGACTGCGTGATCCTCCATAATCATAACCAATTCCCTGCAGCAGTCACTGGTGGTGGCTGTCTGGTTTGACACTTAGACTTTGTGTTGAGCATAAGAAAGTCAGGCGGAGGAGAAATACAGAGACAAAGTAATCCCTCTGTAGGTCTATCGACTGGGATGTAACAACATATGATACCGCACTCAATATCGACTGGGATGGAATTTCAGTGAGATTCCAACACAGTTAAAATAAGTACTTCACAAAAATTGACAAAGACCTATTCTATTGTTGGGTTGCAACGATGCTGGCTTCACGGTGTTCCAAATAAACATGCCTTATTGAGCATTGGAGTGCCTGGACCTTCATTCTTCTACTTGAATTTAAATGTTTGGGGTTTGTGCTAGCCCCTGGTCACATGAATGAGTGCAGTTCCTTCAACATTTTGTGTTATAAAAATTCTCCCTTTATGAAATAATAATTTTCAGGGTGTGGGGAGTGACAGTGCCGCTTTAACAATAGTTACAGGAGATTTCAGAGTTTTATTCCATAGTGTAAATTCCAGAGAAGAGACAGTTCTGTTTTAAAATGTTCTGCTATAGTCTGCTCCAAACTGTCATTGTCCTGCTACACAGCAAAAAAATAAAAAATAAACCTACACCTGCCTGAATTAAAGCGGAGTCACAGAGAATATTAACATGGGATCCAATACAGCAGGATCCTGTTTACCTTTACACATATTTGGATGTGAATCATCAATGGGTGGCACTGCACAGAGACTCCTGGTGCCATAATAACTGCATTAGACAATATATAGTTTTATAGTCAGATCTCACAGCAAGATACATTAGGAACAATAAGCAGAAATACTACATTAGATTCCCATATAGCATCATGCCCCCATGAAACCCCAAAATATATATTTTTTAATATGTGGCTATTTTTATCTTAAGTTTACTTTTCAGTTCATCCTATCAGTTAGGAAAATAAATCCACAGGATATCACAGAAAGGAATCTGCCAAGCAGGAATCAGCCTACAACTCCCATGATGCTATGCCAGCATTAATGATGCTAAGCATGCTGGTAGTGGTCATTGTAGAATGTCTGGAACTGGAAGGATTATATAACATTCTCTCCATGTATTCTATAAAGTAAAGCAGCTAGTTACTAACAGATCCAGCTTACCCTGGGTCCCCTCCATAGCTCTGCCTTCCAGATCTACACTAATCAGTAAGAGCAGCACAAGCACTCCGACTGCAAGGCTCACAATCCCCAGAACAGGCAGAGAGCACCGACTACAGCTCCTGAGCCGAACCATCCACACTGATACAAAGTAACAAGCGTGGAACACGTGATCCCCAGGAAGAGGGAGCAGGCAGAACCAATCGTGTGATGGGTTTCAGTGATTAATCCCATACCGACCAATCACAGCGCGCCTTACAGTCTATAGGAATGAGAGGTGTGCAGGTAAATAGTATGTAAGCTCAGTCACTGTCACTGGGCTGTATGGGAGCAAAATAGCATACATTATATAGACCTGCTTAGTGTGCATGGAGTGTAATTTATTATATAGACCTGATTAGTGTGCATGGAGTGTAATTTATTATATAGACCTGCTTAGTGTGTGTGGAGTGCAATTTATTATATAGACCCGCTTAGTGTGTGTATATGGGAGTGTAATTTATTATATAGACCTGCTTAGTGTGCATGGAGTGTAATTTATTATATAGACCTGCTTAGTGTGCATGGAGTGTAATTTATTATATAGACCTGCTTAGTGTGTGTATATGGGGGTGTCATTTATTATATAGACCTGCTTAGTGTGCATGGAGTGTAATTTATTATATAGACCCGCTTAGTGTGCATGGAGTGTAATTTATTATATAGACCCGCTTAGTGTGCATGGAGTGTAATTTATTATATAGACCCGCTTAGTGTGCATGGAGTGTAATATATTATATAGACCCGCTTAGTGTGCATGGAGTGTAATTTATTATATAGACCCGCTTAGTGTGCATGGAGTGTAATTTATTATATAGACCTGCTTAGTGTGTGTATATGGGGTGTCATTTGTATATAGACCTGCTTAGGTGCGTATGTAATTTATTATATAGACCTGCTTAGTGTGCATGGAGTGTAATTTATTATATAGACCCGCTTAGCGTGCATGGAGTGTAATTTATTACATAGACCTGCTTAGTGTGCATGGAGTGTAATATATAGACCTGCTTAGTGTGTGCATGGAGTGTAATTTATTATATAGACCTGCTTAGTGTGCATGGAGTGTAATTTATTATATAGACCCGCTTAGTGTGCATGGAGTGTAATTTATTATATAGACCTGCTTAGTGTGCGTGGAGTGTAATTTATTATATAGACCTGCTTAGTGTGTGTATATGGGGGTGTCATTTATTATATAGACCTGCTTAGCGTGCATGGAGTGTAATTTATTATATAGACCTGCTTAGTGTGCATGGAGTGTAATATATAGACCTGATTAGTGTGTGCATGGAGTGTAATTTATTACATAGACCTGATTAGCGTGCATGGAGTGTAATTTATTACATAGACCTGATTAGTGTGCATGGAGTGTAATTTATTATATAGACCTGCTTAGTGTGCGTGGAGTGTAATTTATTATATAGACCTGCTTGGTGTGTGTGGAGTGTAATTTATTATAAAGACCTGCTTAGTGTGCATGGAGTGTAATTTATTATATAGACCTGCTTAGTGTGCATGGAGTGTAATTTATTACATAGACCTGATTAGTGTGCATGGAGTGTAATTTATTATATAGACCTGCTTAGTGTGTATATATGGGGGTGTAATTTATTATATAGACCTGCTTAGTGTGTGTGGAGTGTAATTTATTATATAGACCTACTTAGTGTGCATGGAGTGTAATTTATTATATAGACCTACTTAGTGTGCATCGAGTGTAATTTATTATATAGACCTACTTAGTGTGCATCGAGTGTAATTTATTATATAGACCTGCTTAGTGTGTGTGGAGTGTAATTTATTATATAGACCTGCTTAGTGTGCGTGGAGTGTAATTTATTATATAGACCTGCTTAGTGTGCGTGGAGTGTAATTTATTATATAGACCTGCTTAGTGTGCGTGGAGTGTAATTTATTATATAGACCTGCTTAGTGTGCATGGAGTGTAATTTATTATATAGACCTGCTTAGTGTGCATGGAGTGTAATTTATTATAAAGACCTGCTTAGTGTACATGGAGTGTAATTTATTATATAGACCTGCTTAGTGTGCATGGAGTGTAATTTATTATAAAGACCTGCTTAGTGTACATGGAGTGTAATTTATTATATAGACCTGCTTAGTGTGCATGGAGTGTAATTTATTATATAGACCTGATTAGTGTGCATGGAGTGTAATTTATTATATAGACCTGCTTAGTGTGCATGGAGTGTAATTTATTATATAGACCTGCTTAGTGTGCGTGGAGTGTATTTTATTATATAGACCTGCTTAGTGTGTGTATATGGGGGTGTCATTTATTATATAGACCTGCTTAGCGTGCATGGAGTGTAATTTATTATATAGACCTGCTTAGTGTGCATGGAGTGTAATATATAGACCTGATTAGTGTGTGCATGGAGTGTAATTTATTACATAGACCTGATTAGTGTGCATGGAGTGTAATAGACCTGCTTAGTGTACATGGAGTGTAATTCATTATATAGACCTGCTTAGTGTGCATGGAGTGTAATTTATTATATAGACCTGCTTAGTGTGCATGGAGTGTAATTTATTATATAGACCTGCTTAGTGTGCATGGAGTGTAATTTATTATATAGACCTGCTTAGTGTGCATGGAGTGTAATTTATTATATAGACCTGCTTAGTGTGCATGGAGTGTAATTTATTATATAGACCTGCTTAGTGTGCATGGGGTATAATTTATTATATAGACCTGCTTAGTGTACATGGAGTGTAATTTATTATATAGACCTGCTTAGTGTGTGTGGAGTGTAATTTATTATATAGACCTGCTTAGTGTGCATGGAGTGTAATTCATTATATAGACCTGCTTAGTGTACATGGAGTGTAATTTATTATATAGACCTGCTTAGTGTACATGGAGTGTAATTTATTATATAGACCTGCTTAGTGTACATGGAGTGTAATTTATTATATAGACCTGCTTAGTGTGTGTGGAGTGTAATTTATTATATAGACCTGCTTAGCGTGCATGGAGTGTAATTTATTATATAGACCTGCTTAGTGTGCATGGGGTGTAATTTATTATATAGACCTGTTTAGTGTGTGTATATGGGGGTGTAATTTATTATATAGACCTGCTTAGTGTGCGTGGAGTGTAATTTATTATATAGACCTGCTTAGTGTGCATGGAGTGTAATTTATTATATAGACCTGCTTAGTGTGCATGGAGTGTAATTTATTATATAGACCTGCTTAGTGTGCATGGAGTGTAATTTATTATATAGACCTGCTTAGTGTGCGTGGAGTGTAATTTATTATAAAGACCTGCTTAGTGTGCATGGAGTGTAATTTATTATATAGACCTGCTTAGTGTGCGTGGAGTGTAATTTATTATATAGACCTGCCCAATTATTAGTGGGTGTAATTTATTATATAGACCTGCTTGAGTGTGCATGGAGTGTAATTTATTATATAGACCTGCTTAGTGTGTATGGAGTGTAATTTATTATATAGACCTGCTTAGTGTGTGTGGAGTGTAATTTATTATATAGACCTGCTTAGTGTGCATGGAGTGTAATTTATTATATAGACCTGCTTAGTGTGTGTATATGGGGGTGTAATTTTATTATATAGACGTGTGTGTGTGTGTGTGTGTGTGTGTGTATATTATATAGACCTGCTTAATAAAAGGGGGTCATTAGTATATAGACTTGTTTAGGGGTATCTTTATTATAGATATGCTTAGTACAAGGAGGTAATTATAATGATGGATGTGTGTGTGTGTGTGTGTGTGTGTTATTATTTATTATAGATGTGATAAACGCAAAGGGGTTATTATTATATAAACATGCTTCGTGTGTGTGTGTGTTGGGGGTATTTATTATATATATATAATACATTATATCGATATTCTTAGTACAAGGAGGTAATTATAATATCATGCTTAGTATGTGTGGAGTAGTATTTATTATAGACATTCTTTGTACAAATGGGTTATTGTTCAGCGCTACGGAATTGTGCTGGCGCTAAATAAATAATAATTATTATATAGACATGCTTAGTATAAATGGGTTGTTATTAAATAGACACAGTAGTGGGGTTTAAAAATGTTAGTGACCAGTTCCGACTTTTCATATGTAATGCATGCAGTAACGCACGCACGCACGTACGCACGCACACATCGATACAGTCACCCTGGGGGGCAAAGGGAATGCAATTCATTCATTAAAAGTATAAACCTTGTATATTATGCCAGTGAGCAATAAATGAATAAACTTGGTATATCCAGACAATTAACATTAAATGCATAAACTTGGTTTATCATCCCAATTTACATCAAGTGCATAAACCTTGTATATCATGCCAGTGAGAAATAAATGCATAAACTTGGTATATCATGCCAATGAGCAGTAAATGCATAAATCCCAAATATCATGTCAAAGAGCAGTAAATCCATACAATTTGCATGTGTGAGGGGAGCAAGGGGCAATCATGGATTGCGGGATAAAACTTACCAGGAAAGGTTAAAGGATCTTAACATGTATAGCTTGGAGGAAAGACGAGACAGGGGGGATATGATAGAAACATTTAAATATATAAAGGGAATCAACACAGTAAAGGAGGAGACTATATTTAAAAGAAGAAAAACTACCACAACAAGAGGACATATTCTTAAATTAGAGGGACATAGGTTTAAAAATAATATCAGGAAGTATTACTTTACTGAGAGGGTAGTGGATGCATGGAATAGCCTTCCAGCTGAAGTGGTAGAGGTTAACACAGTGAAGGAGTTTAAGCATGCATGGGATAGGCATAAGGCTATCTAACTATAAGATAAGGCTAGGGACTAATGAAAGTATTTAGAAAATTGGGCAGACTAGATGGGCCGAATGGTTCTTATCTGCCGTCACATTCTATGTTTCTATGTTTCTATGTTTCTATGTAACACAGGGACACATGGGCGGCAGAGTGTGTGTGAGGGGGGCATGGGGTGGCAGAGTGTGTGTGAGGTGGGGCATGGGGTGGCAGAGTGTGTGTGAGGTGGGGCATGGGGTGGCAGAGTGTGTGTGAGGAGGGCATGGGGTGGCAGAGTGTGTGTGGGGAGTCATGAGGCAGCAGAGTGTGTGTAAGGGGGCATGGTGCGGTAGAGTGTGTGTGTGAACA